AAATTGCAGCAATCCTCCTGCCTCAGCCTCCTGAGTACTGGGATTACAGGTGTGCGCCACCATGCCCTGCTCTCTGCTTCCCATTTTGCATCTGAGCTTGTTATACCTGCCAAATGGCTTGCAGAAGTGGTCATGCTGATGCACGCGGGACGTACTGCAATTGCTATGCTCCAACAATGGAGTTGGTGACTAATATAGTATATTCACCACCACCATCTCCACCACCACTGGCACACAGATCTGGTGGATAAACTCTTTTTTTTTTTTTTTTTTTTTGGTGGATAAACTCTTGACTACATCTCAATGGAAGGTGGAACTATCTTGTAGGGAGTTTTATTTATTTTTTTTTTTGAGGCAGGGTCTCACTATGTAGTGCAGGCTGGCTTTAAACTCACTTGTGTAGCCCAGGCTGGCCTCTAACTCATAGTGATCCTCCTGCCTCAGCCTCCCAAGTACTGGAGTTAGAGGTGTGTATGACCAACCCCATTCCGGGAAAAGGGATCTGAGAGTTTATCAGGTTATGAGATTATAAAAATCAGGAGAATTATGAGATATCTAACTCAAATTTTAGTAAAAACAAAATAAAAACACAGGACAGGATTTAGTTGTGCATTTTAGAAGAACAAGCTTTCAGAATGTGAAACTAATTGCCACAGGACTGTCAGTGATCTGAGCGTCTGAAAAAAAAATGATAAGCAATCTCAACTCTAAAAAGCAGGCGAACAAAAAACCAGATATCTAACAAGTGCCAAGCTATACCTCCAGTCTTTTTTTTTTTTTATTTCAAGACAGGGGCTCATTAAATTCCCCAAGCTGGGCCCCCCTGATCTTCGGACTTCAGTCTCCCAAGTACCTGGGATTACAGGCATGTGCCACCATGCTAGGCTGATTTTTTTACTTTTTTTTTTCCAGCACCAGGGATTGAACGCAGGACCTTGAGCATGTTTGGTACAGTTAGTACGAAGGGGGCCTGGAAATCACTCTTCTCTACCCCCTGGAGTTTGGGCGACACCTCAGGGCCAATTCTCCCTCCATGGTTCTAAGAGAGGTAGAAAGTAAAATAACAAAAAAACTTCAGGGAATTGCTGAAGTTCCAGGCCACAGCACATGTGCATTAGATCTCCTGGCCTGATCTGCAGTTACCTCTGCCCCACTTGGACCTTTTGTTTGGTTTGGTTTGGTTTTTTGAGACAGGGTTTCACTGTGTAGTTCAGACTGGCCTTGAACTCACTATGTAATCCAGCCTGGCCTCAAATTCACAGCGATCCTCCTAACTCGGCCTCCCGAGTGCTGGGAGCACAGGTGTGCAGCACTACACCTGGCCCCACTCGAACCTCCTTAAGGGTTCATAAACATGGACTACATCTCACACATGTAGCTTAGAGTGAATTCTGAGACATACATGCTCACTGAAAGCCCCTGAGATGTCTCAGACCCCGGTCAATCATTCCTGTCCCAATAAGAGACCCATTACGAAGCACCAGGGCTGGTGTGCACTTCTTTTAAGATCTCAAAACCTGACTTATCTGTGTGCTGTGCTTTTTACTCTCCTGTGCTCCTAGCACCACTTTTCTTTTGTGCCTACTCTGAGTAGATCTTTCAGGGATCTTTAATTAACGTAACTGCCTTTCTTTTACCCCTGAATATACACTTGCAATTCTTTGCTCGGCATACACAAGAGCCTAGACTCCATCGGTGGGGTCCATCCCATAGTATTATATTTGCTTTATGTAGAGAGTAATTTCTGTTTTCTGTCCATGAGAATTTACATTTATGTCTTGCTTTCCCACCCAGCAGGCAGCACTGAAATCTTTCTGTATGGACTCCCCACAGGTGGGAAGTTACAATAGGAAAATACGAAGGCCATCCCATAACTTTTGAGTTTCTAAACAGATTCAGAGAAAAAGTTTTGGGCTTCACCAGCATAGCTTTGTCAGGTAATTTCTTCAGTTCTACATTTCTGTTCACTTTCAGCTGTGTATAAATGTTGTTTTAACCTATTTATTGCCATGTCTGTGTTTTAAAATAACTTTTACATTGTAATTTATAAAATATTTATTACACTCCATGACGAATCTGCATAATTTTTATAGATCCGTACTGCTTTTTATTTTTGTGATTTCATCTTTTATTTCTTTAAACATGTCACACTTTGTCCTTTTCTACTGTGTATTTGAGAAACATATCATGATACCTTAAGCCTTTGAGGGTCTAAATCTGTCATTTATTGTTTCTACTGATACTCTTAGTAGTCTATTGGCTTTTGTATTTTGTAAAAGATCTACTGTTTTTGAAGGAGAAATACATTCAGTGTTTCTTGTCCACCACATCATATGTGGAAGTCCAAGACAGAGCTTCCCACTTGATACACCGTAAGTGCGTTATAGGCCTGGTGAGACAGCGACCCTTGCAGCAGGCTGTACATCACTAGTTAGGAGCTGCTCTGTCTATTTAATATGCTAGGGACACAGAAATAAGTGCAACATCTGGATCAGAGGGCTGAAACTTATTTGGATTAGAGAGCTAGAAATTATTTTACATGGTTAAGGAATAAATAAGGTAGATCAAATGATGCTCAATTAACACTACAAATTAAATTTTAATCACTTTTTTTTTTTTCACTACTGGGGACTGAACTGAGGGTCTTCACACTAACCTACATCCCTAGCCTTTTTTTGAGATAGAATCTCACTAAGTTTCTCAGGCTTGGGTCAAACTTGGCCATCCTCCTGCCTCAGCCTCCCAGAGTGCTGGTATAGGCCAGCACCACCATACCTGGCTCTAAAATATTTTTACAAAATTTAATTAGACATTGTTCCCTCTAGTATCCTGAAGGACTATATCAAGAGATCATATTAAGTTTTATCATACTATGAATCTAAACAACCTTACAGAAAAGGACAGGGCCTGATAAATATTAACTTCTGGACTGTTTATATCATTTCATACTTTATTCTGCTCTTAATCATCACTTGCCAGAGAGAATGAAGGCTGTGCAACACGGTGAGAGAACCAGACTTGGAGAACCAGACTGAGGAGTTCTGTCCTGGCTGTACTACTGCTCCCCACCCCCACGGTGCCATGTAAATTACACACGAATGCGACTGATTCACGTGGGCTGCTTCTTGGAGGGGAAGGCTAGGAACAGAGTCTCAGGGAGCACCTAGTCAGGACTCCAACACCCTTGAACTAGACTGCAACCCAAATAACTTAATTTAGCTCGCTTTCAAATGAACATTTATTTACTTACTTATCTGATACTAGAGACTGAATCCCAGGGGCACTGAGTTACATTTGAAGTCCTTTTTACTTTCGGGGGATAGGATCTCACGAAGTTGCCCAGGTTGGCCTAAAATTTTTGATACTCTGATTGCAGCCTCTCATACAGCTGGATTTACAGGTGCGTGCCACCATGTCTTGTCTAAAATTTTTTTGAGGGAGTATATTGTACTTTATTTGAATGTGGAAAAATATTTTTAAAAACATGGAACATGGGCCACGTGTGGTGGTGCACATCTGTAATCCTAGTACTCAGGAGGCTGAGGCAGGAGGACTGCTATGAGCTTGAGGCCAGCCTGGACTACATAGTGAGTTCAAGCCAGCCTGAACTACATAGTGAAACCCTGTCTCATTAAAAAAAAAAAAAGATGAAACATGGAAAAGTACTTAAAAATATATTATCATTATATGGTACTTTCTTTTTACTGTAAAAATCTTTTCTTAGGCCAGGTGTGATGGTGCACACCTGTAATCCCAGCACTGGTAGGATCATTGGGAGTTTGAGGCCAGCCTGAGCTACATAAGCAAGTTCAAGGCCAGCCTGTACTACATAGTAAGACCTTGCCTCAAAAAAAAAAACAAACCAAACACCAAAAAACAAAAACAACAACAACAAAAAAACCCTGCCATATAAGCCATGTAACTCTGGGGCATAGAAAAATTCTCTGAGGTCATAAGCCACATAACCTCATTTGGAACCTTATGTGTTGAACTTCCTGTTCTGTATTATTGCTCTTTATAGTAAAGGTACAGCTGTGTGACTGAAGATCATGTTGAGCTTTGTTTCTAATGGATACCCAATTCTATGTGAAGCTGTGTATTTGTTTGTTTGGGTTTTTTTTTGGTACCAGGGATTGAACTCAGGACCTTGCGTTTGCCAGGCAGGCATTTGTGCCACTCAGCTGTATCCCCGGCCCTGTGAAGCTATGTAAAACTTCTATATTTTGCTATATAGTACATGTTGATGCTTCACCGAGATCCTCTTTTTTTTTTTACTTTACAAGAGTTATGTGCCCTGGCCAGGGATATAGCTCAGTGGCATAAGCGCCTACCTGGCAAGTGCAAGGTCCTGAGTTCGATTCCCAGTACCAAAAAAAAAAAAGAATGCACATCAAGAATTATGTGCCCTAGCCAGGTGTGGTGGCACACACTTGCAATCTCAGCACTCAGAGAGGCTGAGGCAGGAGGACTGCAAGTTTGAGTACAACCTCAGCAACACACTGACTTAGTGAGAACCTTTCTCAAAAAATAAAAAAGGGCTGGTGATGTAGTTCAGTACGAAGGGCCTAGTTCAATCCCCAGTACCTCACCTTCAGTAAAAGCTTCCTAGAGCCTGCACTGCTCATACACAGAGACCCTTAGGCACGTCTAAGAGCTCACAGTCCCCAGGACAGTCCTTGTCCTCTGTCACATGTGGCTGTATGAAGACTCCCGGTCCCTCCTCTGAGATGGGGAGTTCTGAGGAATGCATTTCATTGTGGAATTCATTTGTATCATCAGGATGCAGCTGCTCTTTGCGGGATTTTGAGAGCTTGGCAAGAACTCAGCCTTGGGTGGCTGCCTTACCTGCACTGACTGCCCTGCTTCTCTCTCCCTTGTTACTTTTCTCTGGGAACACTGCCTTAACAAGCACAGGCACACAAAGCTTTTTCTCAGGATCTGCTGCTGGGGAAACTGACTTGTGACACCTAGGGCGAAGTAAAGAATTATTACAAATTTACCTTTTATAATTGATGTTGAGGTTGGCAGTCATGACAACTCCTCCGGCTCTAAATGCACAGGTACCAACGGTAGCATCGATGATGGATGCGATGGCACCACCGTGTGTGAATCTAGCGAAATAGAGAAAGAGAAATGTTTTCAGAAAGTTCAGGAAACAGAGAGCCTCTCAAGAGACCGGGAAAATGACCCAGTCATTTTCACACATTTACTTAGGAGAGGTCCACTTAGTGCATGGCCAGTACACTGAATGTCAGACATGTTCCTATCACAGTAGTGTGGTCTTATGCACTTATAACACAATCATAACCTAATCAGACCAAAGCATACAAAAAGCTAAAATATAATATAGAAAATTTGTATTTTTACTAAATAAACTATCTACATTCATCATTTTAAAATTTAGGATATGCAGATAAGTAGAAGAAAGAACTAAGGCCCACACCACTACATCCAGTCAGGGCTAAGCGACTGTTCACATGTTAATGACAGTCCCTCCAGCTTTACTTGATTACCTGTGTCCTACGATAATATCACACTAAAATGTTAATTAATATTAACAAAGATAGTACATGTTTTAGCAATATACCATAAACATCTTTGGTGTCAACAAATATACATCTGCGTTACCACTTTAATGTCTTCTTTGCATCCCTGGACACACGGGTGAGCTAGAAGACAAATCTTTCCTGTCCACACTGTGGGGAGCTCATCCTTACCCAGGTACTCCCTGCAAGCGAGGGCCTCCTTGGAAAAAGCAAACAACTCTTTTCTCGGCATCGTTACAGAACATCACATACTCAAAGCCTAGGCCGTCCTCAAAGCTTCTGGTGAAAAGCTGGGCCTCTGACATTTGTTCTTCTTTCAGAAGCTTTGGGTCTGTAGAGAAATAAGTAGATGGGCATAGCTGGGTGAGAAACAGGAGAGAAATGCCACAACAGAAGTCCCTGTTTCCTGCTAAATTTACATGTCAACAGATAACTGGTTCATGGATCATCCGGGTGCAAGACTGAAAGAAACTGGAAGGTGGAGAGAAACAGAATACAAATCGTAGCACTCGGGAGGCTGAGGCAGGAGGATCACTGTGAGCTCAAGGCCAACTTGGGCTACATAGTGAACTAGACAGTGAGACCCTGTCTCCAAAGACAAAAAAAAAAAAAAATAGAAGAAACAGAACACAGAATCTTTGCCCTTATGGAATTACTGGTCTAACTGGGGACAGACTACATATATATGAAATGAAAAAGTACTAACCACACATGGCAAGCAGAAAAAAAGTCTGTAAATGCTATTGTGAACTGAATAAAATGACAAGGTACAAACAGAAACTGTTCTTGAAGTAATAAGCATGGTTTAAAAGAGTTTTAAAGAAAATGAATAAACTAACAGTAACTCTAGCAGACCCAAGTTTAACCTGTTAGTTATACAGAATCAGAAACAGGGTCAAGTTCAATATTCAGTGTGACTAACATGCTAAGTCCCCAAAATGATGGTAGAACCACCAGGGTCACGAAATTAAATCAGTGTTTGCAATCAGACTTTTGTTTTGTTTTGTTTTATTCAGATAGGGTCTTGCTATGTAGTTCAGGCTGGTTCTGAACTCACTATTAGCCAGACTGGCCTTGAGCTTACAGCAATCCTCTTGCCTCAGCCTCTCAAGTGCTGGGATTACAGGGATGTGCCACCACGCCTGGCCATAATCACACTTTAAAAAGAAATAGAATACGTTCAGTATATTCTGGCTGTGTTGGAGAAGCTCATATTCACAGCCTCTGAAGGAAAGATAAGACCACAGCTGAGGACATTTAGCTCTTACTCCTATTCCAGGGCAGTAACTGCTAACCTTAGAGATAAGACAGTTCTTTTAATTAGTAAGATATACTGCCTAGAATGACTTTGTTCTAACTTCTCAAGGCCTTGCTCATTTTCTTGGGCTTTTGCCTCAGGTGTGCCCTCCTCTTCCTGCACCCCACTGAACTATTAAGGACCCAATAGATATGGACAGTTCAGAGAAGTCTTTGTCTTAGCTCCAAGAGAATTCTGACCTTCCTGGATCCCCCACAAACTATACTGTACTGTTTCTTTTATTTAAGCCTTCACCATACACTTGTCATAGGAGATCGGGAGCCTGGCCGAGCCCCTGATATGTATGCAAGCAGTTGCTGAGCGAAGTCATGACTCAGAGGGCCAGGCAAAGAAACCTAACATTAGGGGTCAGTACTATAACGTGGCAGTAAGAACCCTTGCCTCGGACTCAAGACAAAGGAGAAAGAATCCTGGCCTAGGACAGTGAGGGCAAAACTTTTTAGATGAGCGCCCAAACTGCAACCCAAGACCCGCCTATTTATTGCTGGTGCCAGCACTGCAACTAACCTGAATACTGAGGTTTTAGTTTAGAAAAAACAATTCATACATTAGTATCTTTTGTCTTAAAAGAAAAACAAGTAGAGGGCTGGGGATTTAGCTCAGCAGCACAGCACCTGCCTAGCAAGCGCAAGGTCATGAGTTTGATTCCCAGTACAGGAAAGAAAACAAAACAAAACAAAAAAGAACTAAAAGAAAAACAAGTAGCATGCATGCCATAGGTTCACCACCATTGTCCTAGAGAAAATTCTTGGTCTTGCTCTTGCCCAGAACTACCTCTTTTGCTCCACAGTTTATCCATTCAATGAAATAAACCAGGGGGCTGGGGATTTAGCTCAGCGGCAAAAGCGCTTGCCTGGCAAGCGCAAGGTCGTGAGTTTGGTTCCTGGTACCGGAGAAAAACCAAAAAAAAAAAAAAAAAGAAAAAAAAAGAATTCTGAGATTCAATGAAATAAACCAAAGATCTCATCTAACACCGAGGTCAGGATGAGACAAGCATCTTCAGGGTAAGGTAAGCACAAAATGCTTCTAATTTTTTGCGTAAGAGTTAAAAATTTCTGGTCTAGATTACCAAACCTTGAGATTATCTCATCAAAATGAGAAAAATAAGAGTGGAACATGTCTATCTGAAATACAGAATCTCAGGCTCTACTCCTGGCCCAACGAAGCAGAATCTGCCCTTTACCAAGACTCCCAGGTGTTTCTGATTCATGCAGCAGCAGATGACGCTGAAGGCGGCAGAGGAATAACATCAGATTTGCATTGTCTGTCTCTGTGTGTGCGTCAGGAGGGACTAGGGATTGAACTCAGGGCCTTCACACTGAGCTACATTCCCAGGCTTTTGGGTGTTTTGTTTTGGAAAAGGGTCTCAGTAAATCACTAAGTTGACGAGGCTGGGCTGGAACTGGCAATACTCCTGCCTCAGCCTCTCAGAGTGCTAGAATTACAGGTGTGAACCACCATGCCTAGCTGAGACTGCATTCTGAGCGACCTGGACAGCTGGGAGTAAGGAGGGCTTTGAGGAGGTAGGAGAAATGAGGGGGTCAATGTAACACTACAAAATGAACATTACCGACAGAATTCAGCACTTAAATCAACAGTACCTTCCATGAAGACATTGCAGTAGAGCTGATCAAGCAGAAGCCAGATTGCACTAAGGTAAGGACTTTTAATTCACTGTGTAATGTGGCAGTAGAATGGAATAAATATTACAAATCAATTACATTTTAAATTACTTATAAAATTTTAATTTAACAAATTAGTAAATTTTTTTTGGTAGCTCTGGAGATGAAATCCAGGGCTTTATGAGTGCTAGGCAAATATTCTACCACTAAGCTAAAAGCTCCAGCTCTAAAAACATTAATGTTTATTTAATAAATTTAATCACTTAATAATTAAACAAATTAATTTTCCCTTCACTTACACATAAACAATTCTTACCTCTGTACTGAAAAGTTTAAAAAGAAACTTAAGAACTCTCTTACTTTTTCTTAGTGAAAGTAGTTTTATGTCTGTTTCGTTCCTTCCCTCAGCAGGGTGACTGAGGTACCAAAAGGTAAAGTTCCTTATCAAAGGTCACATGGCTTTAAATCGTGCAGCCAGAATAACAACTTAGAAATACCTATTCTTTACCATTAAGATACTAGTGCCTTTTGGATAGCCTCTGAGGCCATGAGACTGAATGAAATTATCAAAGGCAAATACAGAAGGAATACTAAACACGGAGACATGGCAGTGCACCGACTGTGTATGCATCAGGGGTAGGATAGGTTGCCTGTGGGGTGACTTGAGTGTTCTGAGCTTCTTCAGGTGATGGAACCAGGTATCAGGACAAAGGCAAACTGAGATTGGTGATAACAGCCTCCAGACAGAGAGGGGATGCGGGTGGGGCCCTTGAACCCTTCTTCATGGGGATGAGAATGCCGGGGGCTGGAGTGGGAGAACTTATTCTTGACAAAAGGCTTTACATTCTCCCACAATCTGCAAAATCTATTGAGATTTCTGGCCTATAAAACTAGAGGCTGCAGAAATCCTTGCACTATACTCCTTCTCAAGTAATGACTAGTACTTCAATCTGTTCTTAGTTTTGTATTTGATGATCAAATATTATTGATGGGAAAGCAGCTGTTCCTACCAACATAATGGGTTCTGAAGTCTTTAAAATTCTGAGTAGAGCTCCGTTTGTAGGAAGGCAAACGCTTCCATGAGCCCTCCTCACACTTCTTCATGAACTGGTCAAAGAGAAGTCGTAAGTCCTTGCTCCAGCTGGGGTTGGGGAGAGCACAGTCCTTGTCAACAACTTCCTCAGAAGCAAATGATCTCTAAAAGAGAAGAAAAAGAAGAGTAATAGGAGGCACAACCTATTTAAGAATACATTCTCGGGGCTGGGGATTTAGCTCAATGGCACAAGCACCTGCCTGGCAAGCGCAACGCTGTGAGTTCGATTCCCAGTACTGGAAAAAAAAAATACATTCTCTTATTTTCTAAGACTATCTTGCAGCTTTTCTTCTTAGAAAATGGTCATTTTGACATTGAAGGGACTACTGGGTCCAACCTTGAGAGAAGTGGGAGATTTAGAGAGGGTGAATGATGTGCCCAACATCATCCAACTCGCTTTTGCCAAAGCCAATCAAGTCCAGATGAGCGAGAGATAAAGAGATGAGGGACAGACTTTATCCCCCATGTAAAATGTGCACCAGGGGGCTGTGCACAGGAAGCTGGAGCACAAGGGAATGGTACTCACTTCGGTTGTGTTCTTAACACTTGAATATTGATTAGTCAAGTAGAAAAATGCCAAAGCTGGGTGTGGTGGTGCACCTCTGTAATCCCAGCACTCGGAGGCTGAGACAGGAGGATCACCATGACTTAAGGCCAACCTGAGCTACACAGTGAGTTCAAGACCAGCCTGAACTGCATAGTAAGACTCTGTCTCAAAACAAAAATGAAACAAAACAAAACATTACAGCTGGAAATACAAGGGAACACTGTATGCAAAAGTAGGGAGGCACAGTACAGTTTTAAAAGGCCTTATCACAACTGTATGAAATAAATACTGATTATTATCCCCATTTTGCAGATGATGAAATTAAGACCTCAAAGAAAACTGCCACAGTGCAAGCGGAGAACCAGATGGCTGCAGAGATCTAGGCAAAGCCTCAAGAACAGTTAGCCTCAAGAAATAACTGCTTTGAACTTTACCTGAAGTGTTCTCTGAGGTGTTCTTGTGTTTACTTTGCAGTACTAAGGATGGAAGCCAGGTCCTCACCCAGCCTTTTTCATTTTTGAGACAGGATTATACTAAGTTGCCCAGGCTAACCTCAAACCTGTGATCCTACTGCTTCAGCCTCCCAAGTAGGTGAGATTACAAGGGATGCATCATCACATCTGGCCCCTGAGATTTTAAACAAGGGAGTGACACGATTGGACTTGGCCATAATATGAAAGACAGCAGGAGTGTCCAAGACTGGAGTCCGGGCTCTGTCTGGAGGCTGTTCAGCAACTCAGTGAGACTACAACAGCATATGGCAGAGTCTGGAGACATCTGGCTGAGGAAAAGGAGAAACACCGGAACAAACCCCAGGTTTTGAGCTGTGCGTAGGAGGAAGGACAGAGTGAATTACCAGAAAAAGAATACAAGAAAACAAAGGGGCAGGAGTGCTTGGTGTTGCAGTAACCAAGGCTTGTTTCCATACTTTCTCTGCAGCACTGAGCACTGCTACTGCTCCAGCACCCAGGTGACAACTGGAATATAGCAGGGGTCCTGGAGAGCTTAGAAGACAAAGTATGGCCTACCAAGGAGCAGAATAAAGCGAACGCCCAGAGACCTGACAGGAAGATTGGTTCTTCTGACCACTGCAGAAATCTTGGGACAAAGTCACAGAAACCATCAACTCTACAGCATTGCCTTTCAGCACCATTATTACTTCATTCAGATGTGATGTAGCTCTGGCACTTGGATTTACTTTGCGCCAGAAGAGGAAAGCTGCGCTTATGGTGATGAAAGAACCAGCCTCCTGCTGACTCATGCATGGGTTGGCTGAGATTTCTGAAGAACAGTGGAAACCTGCCTCAGGGACTATGCAGAATTAAAAAAAAAAGGGAGTCCAGCTGGGTAAGGTGGTGCACACCTGTAATCCCAGCACTCCAGAGGCTGAGGCAGGAGTATCCTTGGGAATCTGATGCCAGCAAGGCCAGCCTGAACTGCAGAGCGAGAACCTGTCTTAAAAAGATAAATAAAAACATTCAAAAAAAGGGGAGTCCTCACTGTGATACCAGACAGGAGGGGAAACACGAGTGGGATATGGCCATTCTGCCTTTAGCCTAGGAGTTGTGAATTTTCTAGTTGGGTTATCTCTTCAGAACCCAGTTCCAAAAATCTCAGAAAGAAAAGCAGAAAAACTCTGCTATTTCTTTCTTACTTGTAATGCAATGAACAGTAGGATTTTGATATTTTTCTTGTAAGTTTTTCCCCCTATATTTCTCTCACTTTATTGCACCCTCATAAAGTAGACTCTGGTGTTTTTCTGGCATACCCTTGGGAGCAAGATTTTTTTTTTTTTTTTAAATGGTGCTGTGGATAAACTTAGGGCCTTTCTCATGCTAGGCAAGTGCTCTACCATTGATTGTGTACATATTTTAGAGTTCTATAGTGGGATAATGGTAAAGTTTATTCAATAATCTGGGTTTTTTTTTTTTTTTGCGGTACCGGGGATCAAATTCATGACCTTGTGCTTGACAGGGAGACGCTTATGCCACTGAGCTATACCTCCAGCCCCATTTTCTTTTTTTTTTCCTACACTGCTTATTCCCTCAGATGTGGTCATCTGGCTTTATTTTTTCATTGAACATTGAACATATTTGGGTTGGAGATATAGTTCAGTGGTACAAGTGCTTGCCTGGCAAGCACAAGGTTCTGAGTTTGATTCCTGGTACCAAGAAAGCTACTGTTCTGAAAAGTGAACATATTTGGGGGATAAAAAGAGATAATTTGATACATGTATACAGTGTGTAATGATCAAATCAAGCAATTAGCATTTCTATTGCCTTAAACATTTACCATTACTTGGTATCAGGAATCTTCAAACTTCTCTCTTCTTGCTTTATAAAATGTGATCAACTGTTATGAACTTGTCGGGCGTGGTGGCGCACGCCTGTAGTCCTAGCACTTGGGAGGCTGAGCTAGGAGGATCGCCACTAGCTCAAGGTTGGTCTGAACTACACAGCAAGACCCTGTCTCGGAAAAAAAACCAACAGAACAAAACAAAGTACAAACTGTTATAAACTATAGTTCCCCCTCCTGTGTTGGAAAACACTGGTACTTCTCATGTATAACTGTATTTTGGTACCGGTCATCCAGCTTCTCTCTACCCTCCCTCTGTCCATTTCTAGTCCAGTGAAATAAAACTTTTTAGTTTCATGGATGAATGAGAACATTTATGGTTTGTCTTTCTGTACCTTATCTCCAAGGTTTCAAATGTAATTTTTCTTAATATAATTGTAATCTCAAAATATCTCAGCAGAAAAAAGTCCCTTACACTGATGTCCTATAATGTACTTAATCATTTTTACTGTCTCAAACCAGATACACTTGGAAGATCTTGAGTTCAAGGCCACCTTGGGCTATATCATAGTGAGACCCTGTTAGTTACAATCTTTTGCTGCTCTAATGAAAACATTTACTGGGAAATTGTGAAAATACTATTTTCTCTCTTTTGGATTATTTCCAGTAGAAATCCAGTCCCAATCATGTAGCTTTTAAAGTTCATGAATTATAGAAATAATCCAACAAACACAACTCATCATAAATATGCACTGGCTAATATACGGCAGGTGAGGCACACACTGCGCACGGTTTTAGAATTAGCAATTTGGGTTCATCCACATTTGTGCTGGTTTGGGGCTTACTTTGCAAGGGAGAACAATATATAATACAGGACACATATTTTATAAGATTATTTATAATGATTACCCAAAGAACAATACACAAGAGTGCAGGAAATCTGCCCACACACGAAGACCAAGGAATCTAGCCAAGGGCCTGGATCCCATGATAATGTCCTGCATGAGTCCAGCTGAATACCTAGAGCCCATTACAATACCTCCCACGAATCCAATTGGAGGCCCAGAGCCCATAACAATATCTCATGTAGGCCTGTTTCATGGATCTACGCTGCGAAGGCCCAAAGGTCAGTGGTGGAATCCAGGAAGTCTGTGCCAGCAGGATGAAGGACCTGTGCTAGCAGGCTGAGGCATCTGCACTGGAGCCAGGAAGTGACGCTCAGAAGAACCAGAGCTCCCCCGAAAGGTACCACAGCAACAGTGAGGTCCCGAGCTCCTCCGATGATCAAGATGGCCGAATCCCCATTAGGGAAGCCAATGCAGCAAGCTTCTCAGGAGACTGGCAGTGCACCATCTTCCCCTTCGGAGCCAGGAAGCGATGCTCAAAGTAAGAACCAGAGCTCCCCCAAAGTGAACCAAAGCCATTCTCAGTGCCAATGAGGTCTCAAGCTCCTCACAGCATGAAAACAGCCAAATTCATCAGGAAAGCCAGCATGACAAGCTCCTCCAAAACAACCAACAGCACCTTACAGCTTCCACCAGCTCTCAACAGCCTTTTTCTGCTTCTTCTCCAGTTCTGCCTCTTAAGCTGCTGGCAATAATCCCTAGGTGGGCCTCCCACACCCAGCACCATGCTTACTCAGTTCAGCTGGGAGGTATAAGTTGACCACCAGTTATCAATCCACTACATTTCTCTTCTTAACTAGGGAACTGCAGGATTGACCAGTTCCAGTGTTTTTTCCTGGACCAGTGAAACACAGCTAATTAAAGTCTTTCAGAAATTAGAATCACTCCTTGGGCTGTCCTCCATGATTTGAATTAAAATCTCTTAAAGTGTGGGATTCAGCTAAGGCAAAACTTTTTTCAGGTCTGGGTTTTTGTTTTTTTTTTGTACCGGGAATCAAACTCAGGACCTTGCGCTTGCCAGGCAGGCGCTTATACCACTGAGCTATCTCCCCGGCCTCTGAGGTCTGGTTTAACACCAGGGATAGGCAAGACAGAGAAGATGTAGGTCCTGCGTCAAAGGTCTGTAGCCTCAAATGTGAAAAATTCCACAACAGAAACAGACACAGATATAGGAGTGCTTTCAGGTAACACATGAAGCTGATGCAGGGATTCATTAAGGCTAAAGCTGGGCTGCTCTAAACAAGGGAATAGAGGATGAAACAACCATGACATATGGAGAAACTGCCAGAACTTCAGCCTTCACGGAAGTAAGCTGCAAAGGAAAAAACAACAGCAAGACGTGGCTGGCAAAGTAGAAGAGGGATCACACCACTAAAACTCTTCCAGGTCAGTGGTTCCAAAGACCAGTTATAAAGACAGTTTTAAATGACACAGGGACAAAGATTTTAAAGTATTAGGAAATATTTACGCTTGATATATATTTATGACATAAAAGGACATAAATAGTACATCACACTTGTGATTTCAAAAATGTTATTAGGATGAAGCTAACTTTAAAAAAGACATCTAAAGAATTGTGAGGGTGGCATTTGTTTTTTCTGGTTTTTTCTTTTTTTTTTTTTTGGAAAGAGGGTTTCACTCTGCAGTTCAGGCTGGCCTTGAACTCACTACATAGTCCAGTTTGGCCTCAAACTCATGGCAATCCTCCTGCCTTAGCCTCCCAAGTGCTGGGATTATAGGCATATGTCACTAATGCCCAGCTGTGAGGGTGGTATTTGAACAAACATTTTTTTTTCCATTATGTGAGTAATACAGTTTTCTGTTTTTGTTTTTTTGAGATAGGGCCTCACTATGTAGTTCAGGCTGGCCTTGAACTCATGGTGATCCTCCTGCCTCAGCCTCCTAAGTGCTGGGATTATAGGTGTGTGCCAACATGCCTGGCCACAAACAGGTTTTAGAAAGTTCCATCTGGTACAACTGAAATGGAAAGGAGCAATAGCGTGGAAATCAGGTCAGAGACCGTTGATAAGATCCAGGTGAGGCATGAACGGACTCTGAACAAGGTACAGAGTATTGAGAAGTAAAGTGTTAGGAGATATTTAAGACACTGGAACCAAGAGATGAAGGGAGTTACTGATTGTGAGGAAGAGGAAGTGGAGAAGTCTTGATTGCAGAGTTGTGACTTTGAAGATTTGGGGGCCAGGGAGACAGCTCCGCGGCACAAGCAACTGCCTGGCAAGTGCAAGGTCCTGAGTTTGGTTTCCTTACCATAAAAAAAAGAAGATTTGGCGGGCGGGGTGTTGTGTGTGTAGGGGGAATGAAGATAGAAGGAAAATTAGAAGGAAAGGGTACGTGTGTGTGTGTGTGTGTGTGTGTGTGTGTATGTGTGTGTGTAGGGGGAATCAGGAAGGAGGGAAGAGTGGATCTACTATATTGATATATTGAGTTTGTTTCCCTAGATGGACACAACAACTGTGGAAAAGAAAAGTTTCAGTTCATGAAGGTGGGAACTAAGAGACACCTGAAATACATGAATTTGCAAATTCACATAGAGACTACGAAGCAGGAAAATAAATGGGATCCCCAACAGAACAAATCAGAAAAGGGGGCTTTAACGAAGCCGGCATCTCCACAGGGATTCGTCCTCCCGAGAGCCCTGAGCCAGGCTTTGCTTTTACTTTTATACTGTTTCTACAGGGAAATCTCTCACTGCTGGCCAATGCCAAGTGAAATAATTACAGAACAGAAGCAGTGCAGCGGTCAGGGGAGGGGCTGGACTTCCCGGGCCATTATGCTCTGCTGCTATTACACTGTACCTGGACCTGGACGTAGCTGTGGCCATAACTACCAACTTTCTCAGGAAGCTCAGCTGCACAGTGAATCCCACTGCACCCCAGGAGGCAGTCTCTCAACTACATCTGAGGAATAAATGTTAGGGGTAATCATTACCTTCGGTCTGGTCCTAAGTAGAGGAAAGGTCATGCTTCATCTTTGATTATACATTTAAAAAGAAAAGTCATGACTTTGTTTCCTTTTAAGATTAAGTTACTGAACACAGAAGCATGACTTAGGAAGACTGTAAGTACTAATAGTTAGTCCAACACAGATTATAAGGCACCAACATATAATTAAAGAAATTAATTCACCTTTATTGCAAGATCTACACAAAACATTTTCTTTTCCAGTGGGCAAGATGGTACATGATTAATGACCAACCTGTAGTGTGTTTTTACTAATTCATTAGCAGAAGGCTACAACAGCTTAATAGAGATGCCATAATAGACATTTTAAATTAAAAAAAAAAATAAAAGACACATCTCATTAAAATACTCCTTTGAAATTCTGTCACTTTGAACACACTACTTTGTTCTTGCCACTTTCTGCAGCAGTTCTGAAGTCCTCTTTCTTCAGCTGCACAGTTGTGGCTATCTCCATAACCTGAACTGACTCAAAACATTTCCTTGACCTCAAAACATTTCCATGACCTTTAGTCATTCTGACTTTGAGGGAAACCCCGAAGTTGGATTGTGCAAGATCCGGTGAATAAGGTGGATCAGAACACACCACAAAGTTTTTACAAGGCTGCCTTTGTAGGCAGCAGCATTCACCATATTTTTTATCACACCTCCTAAAGACATTTATGAAAGAAGACTTTCAGAAATGCTAAAGCAAGTGGTAAGAATGATGGGAAGTCTCTTTGAAGTGAGGAGAAATATTTTTAGGGGGCTTAAAGGTAATGTGTCTTTTATTGTAGTACTTTTTAAAAAATTAAAGCACTCACTGTATTTTTTTCATCACCCCTTATATACTCTGATGGCCAGTAGCTAGAATATTCTTGAAGCTCAGTCACTGTTCATTGAATATACCAGTGATACACAGGAGTATCAGAAGAGGTGATATTTATTTAATACCATGTTTCAGGCATTGTGGTAAACACCTTCCTTGTGCTATCTCATTAATTTCCTAACAGTGTTTAGAGGTAAGGAAAATGGTTTACAGAGAGTATGGTGGACAACTGATATTCAGAAGCTTTCTACCTGTTTCAAGTTGGGTCATTTAAAAAAAAAAAAGACAAAAAAAGCCGGGCGTGGTGGTGCATGCCTATAATCCCAGCACTCGGGAGGCTGAGGCAGGAGGATTGTTGTGAGTTCGAGGCCAGCCTGGGCTACAAAGTGAGCTCAAGGCCAACATGAACTGCATAGCGAGACCCTGTCTCAAGGGCCGGGCGTAGTGGCCCCCATCTGTAATCCCAGCACTCGGGAGGCTGAGGCAGGAGGATCACTGCGAGTTTGAGACCAGCCTGGACTGCAAAGTGAGCTCAACGCCAGCCTGAACTGCTGGCCTGAACCCTGTCTCAAAAAGACAAAAAAAAACAAAACCAAACCGAGTTGGGTCATTCTCAGAAATAAGATTAGTCAGACAGAGACTATAAGGATTAAGTCACTGGAAGGCATGGGCAATGCTCCTCTGGTGAGGTCTGTCATGGTTGGGCCAGACAGCCTACATTCAGGGACCGTCGCTGGCCTGTATTTTCAGGGTGACCTTGGTTAACTTTTCCTAATCAGTATCAGTAGTAGTAACTGTCCTTACTCTAATAACCAGCCAAGCATCCCGCACTGCTTCAAAATTGAATCACACGCCTGTAATCCCAGCACTTTGGGAGGCTGAGGCAGGAGGATCACAAGTTCCAGCCCAACCTGGGCAGTATAGCGAGACCGTTTCATACTAAAAGGCTGGGAATATAGTTTAGTACGAAGATCCTGGGTTCAAATCCCAGTACAACAACAAAAAAAACCGGAATAGCCTTCTCATCCGTCCAGTGTCTGAGGGTTTGACTCGCTGCCTTGGAGCTGGGATTGATTTCACTCCGAGTCAGCCGGCCGCGGTAACGAATAAACCCGCGTCCGCGACCCCGGCTTGTCGGCCCCTGCCCCATCCGCGGCGCCGCACTCACCCTCGCAGCTCCCGGGCCGCGCGCACCTCCCCGAGAGGCCCCGAGCGTGCGCAGGCGCGCGGCGCAGCTCCTCAGCATGGCTCCGGACGGCGGATGAGCGTGGCTTCTGCGGAGACAGCCGGGCAGGCCGGCGCAGCCCTTCGCAAGCCGGGTGCCCCAAAGAACGCCAGAATGAACTCCCGCGAAGGGCGAGGGGCGGAGCCGGGCGCGAGGGGCGGGGGGAGCCGGGCGGGCGGGCCTCCAGCTTCCGACCGACTTCTAGCTTCCGCCTTTGAGTTCCGGTGCACTTTCCGGCCGACCCGCGCGCCGAGCGGCTTTGGCGTTGGGGCCGCACCAAACTTCCGCCTGGGAATAGCGCCTGAGGCTTCGCGCCCGCGCTGCCCCAGGAGGGTTAGCGGTTACTGTTCTCCTCTGTCGTTCCTCCTTGTCCCCAAACGGCTAACTCTCCATCACGTGGAAGACTCGCATCCTCCGGCAGTCCCTGGGATCGGGTTGACAGTTGATTTCTAGGGCGCTACTGGGTGCAGAGCCGATAAGGGATTGAAACGCGGTTCTCCTCCGCCCTCGCGCTCGCTCACTCGTTAGAGTGAGGATCTGGAGGCTCTCGGCTTCCGAGTCAGACCTTCACCAACAAATCCTAAGCAAGATGCACGGGTTGATTGATGCTTCTAAATGTTCATCCCTAGCTTTGCTGACAGACAGGGGCTCAGACTACCCCTGCTGCCACTTACTACCCTGTACAGACTCTTCAGTTGCTCCTGGCCTCTGTTTCTACTTGTTTCCTGTGAGTACTAAAAAGAGTGTATTAAGTAATTACTGCGTAACTGCAAAGATCTCTGTAAAAGTGAGTGCTCTAGGCCACTGGTGCAATGGAGTTAGTTTGTACAGCCTTATAGGGGGCCGATATGAAAATTTCAAGAACGTGGCTAGCCATTTCATACACATTGGCAGTATTAATATTAATGTGTAAGTTGTGTAGCCACAGGTGGTGGTGTGCACCTGTAGCCCTGCCTACTTGGAAGGCTAAGGCAGGAGGATCACCTGAGCTCAGAAGTTAGGGGTAACCTATCTACAAGGTTAAAGTCTGTCTTCAAACCAAACGAATCATGTAAAGTTTTAAATATTAAAAATAAAATCAATTGATTATAAAAAGGTAACAGATACTGAAACCTAATTGTTTTACTGCATTTGACTCTATTAGGTACTCGAGATTATTTACCTCTATTGTATCGCAGAAATTGTCAACCTGACTCCCAGCCTCGTAGGCCCCCGAAAGGAGGGCTTCCAGCGCACAGGGAGCCACGGGCGGGGAGCGCCGGTCTTCTGGCTAGCTAGCTTCCTGCCTCGTAGGCTTCCAGAGGGAGGGTCCTGGGCGCACGGGGAGCCTCGGGCGAGGAGCGCCGGTCTTCGGACCAGCGGCTCACTCCCGGCCTCATATTCCCCGGAAGGAGGGCTTCCAGCACACAGGGAGCCACGGGCGGGGAGCGCCGGTCTTCCAGCTGGCTAGCTTCCTGCCTTGTAGGCCCCCTGCAGGAGGGCCCCCAGTGCCCGGGAGGCCACAGGGCGGGAGTGCTGGCCTTTGGGCCGGCCCCCAGCCTAACAGGCACCTGGGAGGAGGGGCTCTGGTGCACGGGAAGCCACACGGCAGTGAGTGCTGTTGCATGCCAGCCCTCAGGCCGGCCACCGCTGCTTCATTGAGAACTACCATGACACAGAGAAACATTGACACAATTGGCCTACCATGCACCAGCTGCAGATGCCCACCCACAGATGTGTGTGAATCATTCAAACATGGAAAAACCCCTGGGAATACATGCCATACAACGGGTCA